TGCTCTCATATATCAAAGAAAATTTTGTAATTGCTGATTTTGGGATTGGCAAGGATACATTCCGACTTCCTCTCGTGTGGTAACGTCTGTCATTATTTCCTGCTGAGTTGGAGTATTTTTTGTGAAATAGACAAATGGGTTCTAAAAGGAACAAACAAGGTACAGCATTTTCTGACTGATGAAAAGTGGTTTGCAGTGGTTTACATATGTATCTAACAGCCTTTTTTTATAGAACGAATACTGAATTCAGTAGATGCTGACTACAAAATCCCCAAAAGGCAGTTCCATATCTCAAGTGCGACTCTATCAAGGAAAATACACAGTTCTGACTGAGGATTGATTGAGTTCGTTAGAAACAACTCGAACTGCATAGATGCTATTTTTTTTGCATAAATTTGTTGCATTGTGTGAATTTTGTTAACTATAGCGTGATTTTCTATAAGTAAGTCGTCGAAATTGATTTTGAAACAAAGTATGTTTGTTTTATTTGTGTTGAAACATAAGGAGTTTGAATGGCACCACTGTTCAACCCTATAGAGATCCAGAGTTATGACGTCTCTGAGATTATCTTCATTTGTCCCACGCCAAAGGATGGTGGTGTCATCCGCAAAAAGTGTGAACTTCCCTTCAATGTCAATGGTTGCCAGATCATTCAGATAAATCAGAAAATGGATAGGACCCAGAATCGAACCTTGTGGTACACCTGATGCATTATTCTCAATATGCGATTTATTTCCTTGGAGTTTTAGCCTATCAGATAACTGTAAAGCCAGTTATATAACACTCATCTAAAGTCCAAGCACTGAAGTTGAAATAATAGTGTTTCACAGTTCAAGCAGTCGAACGCTTTTGAGAAATCACAGAATACTACCCCAAAAGATTCGTTATCATTTAAACCAATATATACATCTTCCAGAACAGAGAAGATTGCATTGCCTGTGTTTTTATGGCTTTGGAATCCATATTGAGATTTGCATAGTATGTTAAGATTACTTTAGAAGTTCAGCATTCTCTTTTTAACCAGTTTTTCAATTATGTTTGGGATTGTCGGAAGCAATGATATAGGCCCGAAGTTTGATGGATCATTCATGTCACCACCTTTATGAAGCGGAATGACTATTGCTAGTTTCAGACATGTAGGAAATCTGCCAGAATGAAATGATTTATTAATGGCCTCGACAAGAATATTTCAAGCGTGTTCAGGGAGATTCTCTAAAATTTTAACTATTTCATCATAACCAGATGATGTTCTGTTCTTTATTTCATTTATAGTTTGCTTCAGTTCGTATATGTCTGTATCAAATAGGTGAAAGTAATCTGGAATATTTATATTTTTCATAAACTTAGTTGGATGGATTGTCGATTGTAATTCTGATGTTATTTTTCGTGCTATCGTATAGTAGTTGTTTAACTTCGACCACGCCAGTGAAGATAACTGCCGCAGTTGCAGTTGAAACTTTCGGAGATTGTAACTGAGGAAGACCGCGGCAAAACCCGGAAAGCACACAAAAAAGTTATATCATATTTTACAACGAATTACTTCATGAATATGTTATTGATTTTAGTGGTTGACAATTTCATTAGTTCGGATTTCCATTGTCTAATATGATATAAATTGATATGACACTAAATGGGAAACATCTGTATATCGAAAACACATACACACACGCAGGACAGTATCTGAACCAGGAATCCAACCACCATCAATCGAAGAGAGGAATCATCAAGACTCTACTAGACCGTGCTTTCGGGCTCTGTAATACAAAGAAAGGTCTCTAAAAGGAACTAGGCATCATCAAAAATGACCTTCAACGGAATGGTTACTCCAAAGTGACAGTGGAACAGGCTAAGAAGGATAAGAAGGATTGGGTCCAATTTAACATCAGGACCTGCTTCAGATCTGGGAACACTATACGTAGCAGCCTCACGAAAACCAGGCCACCAAACGCGGACTGCGATTCCAAGAATTGCATTTACCGGATACCCTGCGAGTGCCAAGAATCATACATCGGTGAAACTAAGAGGCCATTGAAGGTTCGCATTGCCGACCACAAGAAACACACACAGCGAAGAGAAACCAGCAAATTAGGAATAGCAGAACATGTTTGGACTCATCAACATAACATCAAGTGAAATCATACACAAGGAGGAACACTGGTTTAAGAGAAAATTCAAGGAAGCTGCATAAATGTTTTCCAACAACGCATTTAGGCAAGCTAGCGTAGAGATACGCAACATATGGAAACCTCTAATTAAGCGGAACACGACTAACACTCGCCAAACGGTCAGCTTCCGT